ATGATGGATGGATGGATAGATAGATAGATAGATAGATAGATAGATAGATAGATAGATACAGACAGATAACGGTTTCTAGGTGTGTTGTTTCTGCAGAAGCAACTATTTTTTTAATGCTTTTTGCGTATTTTTGCACTTTGATGGGGAATAACTCAGCCTGGCAGGCAAGCACTCTGCTTATTGCTTCATGAGCAACTTTCCAGAGGGTGTCTCCTGTCACATAGAAATGAGGAAGCTGTAAAAAGAGGAATGAGCTGAATGAACCAGTGTGTGTGAAAGAGCTACAAAATCCATTCTTGGGTTGTCAGTTTCTTGCAAACATCAAAAGGAAAAATGTGTCCCCTAGAGCCAATGTTCCTGATTATCACCCCACTCTACTGCATTCACACGCACTCTTTGCTTATTGCCCAGAGGAGGGGTTTAATGGGGAAGATGATACAGAACTGAGCAGAAAGTAAACTACTGGAAGGCAGGCAGACTGCACTCTGTGTGTGTGTGTGTGTGCGCGCGCGCGTGCACACACACACACATGCAAATTGGAGCAGCCCTTTCAATGAGGCTCAGTGGAGTAATGTTCTTTGGAGGGAAAGTCAGGCTACATCATTAATAGTCTGTGGATACTGGCACTAATTGATCATTATGTTTATGGATTTTATTTAGCAGGGGACCTATTAATTTTCCCAATCCCAACCATCCTTTTTACTTTCTTAATGCGAGCAGTCTTACAATAAGAGGACTGGTATTCCTAGGAATCGGTAAGAAAAAGATGCTCTGCAGGAACAAATGGACAAGTTTTGCCCTGAAGGATGTAAATAGTTAATTTCCCCATAGGTCTGTCCTGGCTGTGCAGCTTTCCAACTTGTTCATAAATGATCTGGTACTACAGTAGAGGAGCAAAAAGATCCAGTTTGCAGAAGTCACATTATCCTGAACCAGCAAAAGGATTTTAAAAAGACAGTGAAAAGAGAAATAGAGCAATATTGCATTTTTAAATATTCTGTGGGGGAAGAAAAGTCTAACTCCAAAGGGAAGCATTGTGCTTATTCAAATCATTACTATGTTTGAACAACCTGTGGCCACAATTAGCCAATTACATTTTAGCCTAGAGCATTGCATCAAACCATAATGGGCTGATTGTTCAGTATATCAAACACACCAACAAAAGTGGGTTTATAGAGTAAATCAGGGTTGTTAATATGTTGTACAAATATGAAAACAGGTAATAACTCTTGCTTAGATGATTTTAAAGGGGGTTAAACAATTTCCTGGGAGAATCAGAGTCCTCGCAGAGTTGGGGGCAAATGAGATCAAGTGATATAATGTGAATCTTATTGTGATGCAAAAATTTTGACGCCATCATGGCTTCTATCCGAGCCCTACATCAAGGGCTTCTTATCACGATGGCTGTAAGCAGTGTTCTGATTATTAATAGTGTCACTTCAATTAACAATTGATGGGAAGCCACAACAGGAAAAATATCTCATCTTGATTTCCTGTTTGTGAGTTTCTTAGAGACCATTATAACTGTATTTACACATAGCATTACTAACATGTTTTGCTGAACAAGCCATGCCAGCATGGTTCAGACTTTACATTAATGTGTAATGGATGGTATCATGTGTAATGCTAAGCCCAAAAGTACCCACCACATTATGACTTAGTATTATGAATGAAGTAGACTCATAACTAGATGCTGGAGTTCACACTTTCCAATACGCCTTTTAGAGCAAGCATACTGCTTGCAGATGTAGATGTTTCAGTACATCAGTGCTGAAGCAGTTCCTGCCATCACCCAAACCAATATTTCTCCTGATTATATGATGAGCCAATTTTTTAAAAAAATTGGACTGCATATATAATAGTTTGACCTTCTATATCATGTGTCTGAAATAAAACAGGGGTCTATCCATCCCTACTGCCCTCCCTACATTTTATCCCAATTTAACTCTGTAAATCAGTTTATGGAGAGAGAGAGAGAGAGAGGGAGGGAGGGAGGGAGGGAGGGAGGGAGAGAGAGAGAGAGAGAAGGGGAGATAGAAAAAGGTTATTGAGATTTACAGAGAAAAACATATTTAATTAGGTTTAATATGCATAGTTTTAAAACAAGGGGAATTCTTAAAAATAATCTTTATTGTTTACAAAGAGTCAAGTATTTTAAAATAGTTTGGTGCTTGAAACCACTGATATGGGAAGAAGGGATCTTAAGGTAAATTGTAACTTATACATGCGTGTGCCAACAGAATCTTTACTACTAAAAATTATGATAGAATTCAATATTTAAGCTCTAATCTGAGGTACAGCAGCAGAACACTATGACTCTGTAGTGCATTCCACATCCTTGAGGCCATCTAGCATTGCTGACTGGCTTACCCTCCAGAGCTTGTTTGATCTAGACCAGGGATGGGGAACAGTGGCCCTTTTATGACTTGTGGACTTTCAGGCATTCTGGGAGTTGAAGTCCACAAGTCATAAAGGGGCCATCGTTCCCCGATCTAGATAATGGATTAATAGTTGCATTTTTGCATTCCTGAGTGTGTCTGTGGGCATGTATGTGTATGAATATATATTCATTAAAATTGTATCTTCATGTATGACAGTTCGTAAACATGAAGTGCAACAATCCGTGATTTATGCAACTTGGTAAATTTGTATCTCGGGAACCATTTCAAGTTAGCACTGTTTTCTTCAAGGTCTTTATTATCAAATGATGATGAAGAAAAGTCCTTTCTCTTTCTTTAATCTTCCTTTGTTCTCTTCGAAAATCAGTTCTCTTGGCTGCTCTTATATCACAAAAAAGAGGATTGTGTGTCCCTTTATCATAATCATGAAGATACTGGCATGGCATTGTTCCTGGTTTGAATAATTTGCTCACCTATGATGTATGCTAATGGAGGGTGAAAGAATAAAACCAATGCCAGCGCCTGAACCAAAACCTTTAACCTACCAAGGTCTTTAAACTCAGGTTGGCCTCTGTATCAGCTTAGCTTGCTAGACATTTAGACATAATTCACGGTAAAGAGCATGAATTAACAAATGAATTAAGTGAAAGGAAAACTGTTACATTGTAAAGCTGTGAAGCTAAGAGAAAGGAGGAGGATGTAATAAATTGCTATGGAACCATGGAAATAAAAGTGTAGATTGTAAATAAATGAATGGAAATAAAAGAATAGATTTATTTTACTTTTTAGTCCTTAGTTATGAAGGAAAGGGCTAAAATATGCATCAGAAAGTTTCCTTTAGTATCTTATAGGATGTTGTGGGTAGCAGTTTCTGCAGGGTAGAAGGGGGTGGGCAGGGTGATACAAATGGCATTGCGATACAAACTCTGCCCTTTTCCAGGGGTATCGAAGGGCAAATGCTTATGGTGTACCCCTGCAGTGCTGTTTTCATTGTTATGACAAAATATTGCATATTTTGGTTAAAAGTAGGATTCCATAGGTTACTTATTAGTTGTATGCTATGCATCGGTGAATTGTAATAATGGAAGAACCAGAGATGATTTTGGAGAAAAAAATAATGCAACGTTCTGAAATAACATGATCCAGAGGGAAAGAGATTGTTTTAGATGGCATGATTGGGTGGGAGGACACAAAACAAGATAGCAGAGGAAGTGACCAATTCTAAAGATCTCAAAATGAATTTTAAAAGGTGATTAGTGAGCATCTGGTGAGATAACGGTGTACTAGCATACATGTAGAAGCTTATTTCATAGAAGAATATGGCGTTCTCAACATTTGGGGGAGAACTGGAATCTATAAAGAACAATGTGCCAAGAAGAGTATATTTTGGTGATCAATTAGCTGTTCTTATACTTTGGGCTCATCTAGAACAATAGGAAATAACATTGTTTAGGTACTTAGTGGAATACTTTTTCAGTCACTTTGGTCTAGTAGTTAAGGCAGGAGGCTAGAAACCAGAAGACTGTGAGTTCAAGTTCCATCTTAGCCATGAAAACCAGCTTTGGGCCATTCATTCCCTCTCAGTTCAATCCACCTCAGAGGGTTGTTGTTGTGAGGAAACTAAGAGGAGGATTAGGTAGGTTCATCTCCTTGAGTTATTTGTAAAGGTAATAAAGGCAGGATATTAATAAATGTAAATAAGTAAGTAAATAAATATAAATATATTTAAAGGCCATGAAGAGGTCCTGGTTTAGCAAACTTACATTTAAAGAGAGCACATGTCTGCAACTGTTGTAATTTCATTGCCAATCTCTTAAAAAGTCCATAGCATTTGGCAAGCCTTACGTGGTTGATCTTGAAAAGGTAAGCAGTTTTAGTCCTGGTTTGCACTTGGTTAGGCAACCATCAGAAAATCTCAAGACTGTAGATTAGAGTAATGTATCCGGAAACAAAATAACAATAAGAAAACACTGCCTCCCAAATAATGCAAATGCATCCATATTGTCACAAGGAGTTGAGCTCAACTCCAGGGAGATTTTCCTTTTTATTCCAAAAACTATAAAGTTAAAAAAATGAATCAAAAATAATGTAAAATTAGTATGTATTCCTTTTTAAAAATTGTTTTATACACTTTTGATTGCACAAAAATAGCTAGAAATGTGCCCAGAAGACGTACAGATGGTAATAGATCAAAGTAACAAATGGATACAAGCTTCTTTTTTCATTTCATCTTTTAAGCTGTTCAGATTTCCCAACTAAGAGACTGTCTAGTCACATTTCAGTTTTCCAAGACTGACCATAAATAATCGATGTGGCTTGTATGAACTGACACCTAATTATTATGTCCATCTCTTCAGCAGAATCAGTTCAACTCAAGATACTATGGAATCTTGAAAAGAACATTCAAATGTCTTTATTCTCTTAATGAAATTGTTGAGTTTTCTGAAATGGTTGAGTTCTCTGTAATAGCACCCCAAACTTCCCCCTTAAAGGTGCTACCTCAGCCTGCTAAAGGTAGTAAGGCAGGCCCCATATTTATCTAAGCTCACAAAGTCTATTGAATGCAAGTTCTCATTTTATTTCTATTTTTGCTTAATACAGGTACATTCAAGGGGCCTCATCTCCAAAAGACATGGTGATCATTGTGGATGTGTGAGTATTTTTCCCTACAATTTTCCACGTCATATTTTCAGACTATATCTCATTGTTTGGGTCCTAGTAAAATGCTAAAATTATTGAAATGAATTTGGAGGCTCAGTGGGCAGGAGAGGCTGTCTCCACAGCATAAGATAATCATGGAAAAGAATTATAACATACCTGGTGCTTCGGATATCAGGACAATCTGACTGCAACAGTTCTCCTCACATTAGTCACCGGGGTGGATTTGGCTGATCTGGCTGACAAAGAGGGTGAGACTTTCTTCCCTCACCGTCAATATATACCTCTCCCAAAGCTCTAAACCAGGGGTGTCAAACTGCCAGCCTGCAGGCCGGATACGTCATGCCAAAACCGCACCCACCCCATTGCTGGCACTGGGGGAAAAGTCATGATACATCACGACACATCATGTGACATTGCGAGTTTGACACCCCTGCTTTAAACTTTGTGAGCAGATAGGAGTGGGCCATTCTTTCTCAGAATTGGCGCAGCCTAAAATTTGCTTTTTTCCTTACCAATCTGCACCCTATTGGTAGTGACCAGGTGTGTTCAAAGTCCTTTGGGAGGATTGAAATGATTTAAGGTTTGATTTTCTTCTGTCAGCTTAAAGAGATTGATTGATTGATGGATTAAATATGTATAGGATAGATTAATATTTTATTTTAAATAAGGGATATTAGCAGAAGAAGAAATAAATAAGATTTATGATAAAATTAAGGAACTGGAACATATTTGGAAGGGATACCCGAATTGATAATGTTTGTACTTAAAGTTAATTTGATTATGGTAGTGTAAATTTATAAAGATTTAAAAACAGGTCTAGGTTGAATAAATTTAAGCTAGAATTGGACTATTTTAAATAAATTATGTCACTTAAGGGAAAAAGAGAGGGAATACTTGATGTATTGATTGAATTATGTATATATGTTTTGGCTTTGGATGTTTGACTACTCTAACACCACGGTGTGTCTTGAGCACTTTGTCTTAAAAATCAAAAAAACGAATACAACTTGTTTAAAAAAAAAAAGTCCTTTGGGAAGAATCTGGGCCTATCCAAGTTTTTGCCTGTCCCATTTTATACTAAACAAAAACAAGACGGGGTTATTTTAAATTTATCCTTTCTTCTTGCTTCAGTCTTTGGACTCCATAATCCCTTGTCTAAGTCCCTCCTTAATGGCTCTTTCAAGGTCAGCTCTAAATTCCTTTTGGGAATTTACTAAGCAGTGGGCTGCAGTCTTATGCAGCTGAGCTAGGATATATTGCTTCAAGATTTTGAAGGCACAGAGGTGTATGAAAGAAAGGTTAGATGCAATCAGCACATATGCTAAAACCCATTTTGCTGGAAAATCAATCCTATTTAATTTGGCATAACTTATGCCTAAGTAAACAGCAATAAGGCTGGAAAGCTTTTAAAGCCACAAGTCTATCCATATTGATTTGCTGATCCCAGGAATCTCCTTTTTTACCTTCCACCTTTTCCAACAAAAGATTAATTCTCACAGCTGTGACAGAAGTGCCTTAACAGAAGAATTTTAACATTTGATCCTATGCTTATTTATTCAGAGGTCCCAGGTACATTAAGTGGCATGTGCTGCTTAATCAACTAGTTTTTAAACTGTGGCCTGTGGGTGATTAAAAAAAAAAGCTTTGAATCTGGAGTGGATTCAAATTAAGCTTATAATAATAATAATCAGTTGCTGTTGCTAAAAATTCCTGGATATGGACTGAAGAATGTTTCTATTTGAAAGAAACAAGCAAGGACACTGGTGAAACAGAGTCTGAAACCTGAGGGGAAGAATATGTCCTCACCAATCTGAAGTGGACCATAGTGCTGGGCGGGGGTGGGGGAGGGCTGATTCCTACATATGGTGACTTGACAGTGCGATTGACAGAATGAGCATTGAAGTACATCCTAAGGTACTCCGAGTCGTGGTTAAGTTCCTACACTTTGTTGAATGCTGATGGGCGAAAGCATTTTGAAATTAGAACAGCTAAGAGCAATCTTAAGCTGTCTCAGATTCGGGCTAGGAGCAAGATAAAGGCAACCTCATGAGTCACAGTGGAGGAAATACGTTGCTGGGTCATGCTTTTGGAAGCAAGGAAAGGCTCTTAATGAAAGAGATGCATAATGAGCTCTATCTTATCTTCTGTTACAGGAGCGGTAGTGTCAGTGGCCTGACACTGAAGCTGATGAAGACCTCAGTTTATGACATGTTGGACACACTCTCAGATGATGATTACGTTAATGTTGCTTCTGTGAGTAGCCAGACTATGGTAGGAAAGTAAGGGGTAAAGAAACAGGCAGCTTTCCACCAATATGGCATCCACTAGATTGGGAAGTGCAATTATAGAAATAATAGATGCTAATAAGCATTGTGAAATCTTGTAGTAGCCTATAGCATCTTTAACACCAGTTTTGTTATGAACCAATAATTTGGCTTATATTTGCTTTTATATCTTTAATAATGCTTTTCTTCCTCAGTCCAGATTTTTTAAAAAATGGAATGCAGACCAAGAGAGTATATGCAGTAAGGAAGTAAGGAAGCGAGATGCAGAATCTAATATTTTCTTCATTGTCATATCAACCACAGCAGTAATTGATGGATTTCTCTATTATGTATAGATTCTCTTAATTATATTATAGTTATAGGCACACGCACATACCTATAAATATAAAAAACACATATATCCTTTCTTACATAAATATATATGCCCACATTTAGGAAAGAGAGCATATTGAATGGCACTAAATTGCACTGCAACCTATTGGTAAACAGTGCATTATAATTGTTGTGTAGATATTTAGCAAAGGGAATTCACATCAGCACACCTCTATTCTGAGTGATAGTGGGTCACTTGACCACTAAATAAAAGTGTAACTAACATGAGTGCTTTGTGTGCAGATCTGTTAAGATTTGTTACAGGGTAATATCAATGCACCATAACGTCTTGTTTCCCTTTTACTGTAGTGTGACCATGTGACCATTTTTGAATTAATGCCTGTGTTCACACTTGTGAGATATGCTGCCAACCATGCAGATGAGAGTGAGGGAGGTACACATAGGACAAAAAGGACAGGCCCACAGTCTATAGATTTACAAGCTAACCATAAGGAACCGTCAGGTGTATTGTAGCAATTCGTATATGCCTAAAGATAGTGAAGAAAGCTTGTAAGAAATCTTTGCTCTCTAGGGATGTTGGAAAACTCAACTTATCTGAAGTTAAATAGACTGACAATTTTCACAATCCAGATTGTTAGACAAGTTTTTTGCTTAGATTTTGCACTTCTTTGGATTTTTCAGCATAGTTCCAAACTTTTTCCTACAATCCAAAGGTCTGATTGAGAGTATTTGAATGAAAGAGTATCAAATAGTCCAATAGTAATAAATCTAAAATGATAGATGATCATTTATATTGGAATAACTACAATACAAATGCTATAAATACTTGAGAATCCATTACCACAGTAGATTATTTCTTTAATCAATTAATTTTCATTGCTATTAGATAATAGCACAATTTGGAAGAAGATGATGATTCACAATTCATACTGAAGCCAATCTGTTTGGCCTCTGCTCAGGGCTCATATAAATTCAACTGTATCAGTGGCAAGCGTGATAGTAAAGGCGACAGAATAGTAAAGGTGAAAGAACCAACCACTCAGGAGCAAGATAATATTTCTCTAGCAGCAAGAGAACTTAATGATCAAAGCTGTTTTCCTGGATTTGATGTGGTGCATTTAATGCCTGCTCTTGTACTTACCAGCCTCTAGGAGTTAAATGATAGCTTCTCTAAGAAACAAGTTCTGAAAACATCTCAAACCAAAACGCCACATCAGCCCTGCGAAAACAACCATGCTCTTTAGTTGTCTGATTTGTTACCTTGTATAAGGGGGAGGGGGAAGAGGGAGATGCCCATCAGAAGCCTTGGCTCCTGCCTCATGCAGCTCCTGCAGCCCAATTTGCCATTTCTGTCACCTTTCCTTTTCCCACACTCCTGACTGTTCTTTGCCTTTGATCGATTGCAAATGACAAAACACACCTGCAAGAAATAAATTGCATCCTCCACTGCCATTTCCTCTGTGCCAGCTTTGACAAGCCGTTCTGTTTGCACAAGGTGGTTCTTTGTGGTGGGAGTTGCGGAGGGGAAGGGGAACATAGCCAGCAGGTATGACAAGGATGAGGAAAAGGATAGCTTTGATTGAGAGGATGATGCTCATGACAGAGGCTGGGCTCTTTCCTGGACCTGGGTTGGATTAAGGTTAGTTTATAGGCAGGAATGTGTTGTGATTTATAGATCCAGAAGATCAAGAATGGAATTGGTGGCATCAGCAAAGCTGAACTCCTTTTAGAAATGTCTTCCCAAGCTGCTGCCTCCGGATCGCAGCCATTTGTTCAACAGCCTCTTTCTACCTGTCATATCCCTGTCCCTAATCTAAACTAGAGGGTCCTTTTTACCTGTTGTTCCTTGCTCTCCTAGTCCTCTGGCAAGTGTTAAGCTTCTGGAAGAGGAGAGGTGTTTTCTCATGTCTGCTATGGCTTGGAAAAAGTAAGGAACAACCTAAATCTGCTTAAATATCTCTATGAATGATATTCAGCTCTCCAGCAAGCACATGGAGCTTTATGGAAGAGGAAGAGGGTTCAGCCATTCAAACTGAAAAGCTTTCCAGTTTTTTTTTAAAAAAAATTCAGTTCAGGGAAGAATAAACCTTGCCTCTCTTCTAAGTGCCCTATAGTTGTTTGAGAGAGGGTTGTTGTTGTTTGCAGGGAGGTCTTGCTTCCCATCCTTCCTTATTTGTTTGGATAAGGGCTGACAGAACTGTAGGCTCTCCATCCCTTATTCTAGAAAGGGTTTGTTAGTAGACTTTCAGACATGATTTACTAAATTCTGATACTTCATTGCAAACAAAACTTAAGCCCCTACAGCAGAAAAATCGGCCTATGTTATCTCACAATCACAGAGTATGTGTATATGTATGCTTGGATAGTTGCTCCAGAGTTTAAATTCTAGACTCTTCCCCCCCCCCCTTCTTTCCAAGTTAATGGCCCTTTGGCTGTTATTTTCAAGTTCACAGCTGGAATATGTTGACACTAGCCTGAGAACCACTGGTCCCTCTTATACCAACTTTCTTCTGAAGATGAGAAGGAATGGTGCCACCACAGCTTCAAGAAATGCTATCAGTAGAAAGGGTGGGAAGTGACTGAGAGATGGAGAAAGCAGATGTTACTTGTGAAACAGCACAGTGAAATGAGTGGTTTGGTACTCTTTGCCCTTACAGGCTGACAAGTATTTGATCTGTCCTTAAGCTAAATTGGTCCCAGGGACTAGCACGGCTGAGGAGAGCTATCTTCAGTGATGAAAATCCCACTTTGGTTATATAATACTCATTCTAAACATTACACTGACTCTAATGTTTTATTTATTGTTCAACATTTTTCTGCCTTTGAGGGACAGATCCTATGTATATATGTACAATATCAGTATGTATACGTGTATACAGTATACAGTATGAAGCTGGCAGTGTGGTGTCCTTGGCACTGTAGGAGCAATGTTTCATGTGTCCAAACAAAAAAAAATATCTAAAATATCAGTAAAACTTTACCATTTATATCTAGTGGGCCTGGTGCATTGCTTTAAATCAAGTTTACTCCCCTTTAAATAGTTTCCATAACAACACTCTTGTTACAAAGTAAAACCTAAATAATTTAGTAGTACAATCTGTACCTTCTTGACAGCAGATGACATATTTATTTATTTATTATGCATCACCTATAAATCAAATAGGAAACTGAGAGTTGAACAGATATTTTGGACTATAATTTCAGGAATTCCTTGCCATTAGATATGTTGACTAGAAATCCTAAATGTATACTGGCAGGTGACATCAGAGTTCTTAAAATCCCCTATATAATATTTTCTGAATAGGTTGACTTTTAGGACAAGGCAGGCTTATTCAGTATGTCTCTACACTTCAGTTTCAGTTCTAATTGCAATATTTAATACATTTATTATGTTCAGAGGACAGACTATGATTTATTTTAAAATTTAAATTATTAAATGGTGCCTGGTTACAGCACGAGACTAGAGGCCAGGAGACTGAGTTATAGTTCTGCTTCAGGCACGAAAGCCATCTGGAGGACTTTGCCTCAGTCTCTCTCTCTCTCTCTCTCTCTCTCTCTCTCTCTCTCTCTCTCTCTCCCTCCCTCCCTCTCTCTCTCTCTCTCTCCCTCTCCCTCTCTTTCCAAAACTCATTTCACAGGGTTGCTGTTGTGGGGAAAATAGGAGGAAGAAAGAATAGTACTAAGTGTATTTGTCACCTTAAATAAAAAACAATAAATGTGGAATAAAAATAGATAATCTTAAACCGTGACACTTCAGCAAGAAATGAATAGACCATGGCTTGAGAAGAGCAAACTTACAACATCCCCACCTAACTGGAAGGCACTAGGTTGAAAATTGTCAGTGGTGCCATGATTTTAAAGTTAGTTCATCCAGATCCAGATTTCTGTTGAACTAGTGTCCAAGAGGCAAGCCTGAACTGTAATTAGTTGGCATGCCAATTTTTCCATCTGCCACAAGTTACTGGTTTATTACTGTCTCCCCCCCACACACACACACACACTTTTTTTTTTAACCAGCTGGCAAACTTATACCAGGACAATGTCTTTTTCCTGGCAGTGTTAGAAGGAGGTGTCATTCCTGAAATTTCCTGTCATTTCTTAATGGGTGTCCCCTGAAGGTCTTCTTAATATTGGTGTCTCTGCTGCTCAGCTGTATCCCCCCTGAAAAATTATAATTTTCCAAGACAGATTTTCAGATAGGATGAATCCCCAACTATCATAATCCTAGCCACATCAGGAACAATTAGCAAATGTACTGTTTTTACTCCAAAATCTGATCCTGAGCATAAAGGACACGGAGAAAGCTTGAGGAATTGCCTGCTAAGTACTTTTCAGTTTTGTACTATGTATTTTAGGATGTCTTCCTGAATTAAAGTTTAATTTGACTTAAATTAATCTTGTTCTTCTTCCCCTCAATAAAGTCCTGTAAATTTGCTCTTTTTATAAGTCACACCACGAAAGAAAATAAAAACTCCATCATTCTCTGTAACCCTATCATGTAATAATAATAATAATAACAACAATAACAATAATAATAATAAAGTTGGAAGGGACCTTGGAGGTCATCTAGTCCAACCCCCTGCTCAGGCAGGAGACCCTATACCATTTTGGACAAATGGCTGCCCAGTCTCTTCTTAAAAACCTCCAGTGTTGGAGCATTCACCGCTTCTGGAGGCAGGTTGTTCCACTGGTTAATTGTTCTGTCAGGAAGTTTCTCCTTAGTTGTAGGTTGCTTCTCTCCTTGCTTAGTTTCCACCCGTTGCTTCTTATCCTGCCTTCAGGCGCCTTCATGTGCCTGTTGACTGGCAAAAACATGGCTGGCCTAATTAACAAGTCTAGCCTCGTTACTTTTGCTGGATCACTGCTTTCTAAATTAATGTTCTGTATTTCCAGCAAACTAAGCCATAAGCAAAAATGAGTGGGTTTTTTTTCAGTTCACCTGCTGGCCAAACTCTATGCAAGAGAAGCCTGCTCTCTCCCAACAACAGTTTAGCATAGAGCACCCGCTTCACTGAGGCTGTGATCTTGTGATAAGGCAATAAAATTCCCCATGAAAAATATGTTTGGACAATCTCAGTTATACTATCCACAAATTCATTCAATTCTCAATCACTCTTAACAGGAACAAAGGTTTTTAATAATAATAATAGTAGTAGTAGTAGTAGTAGTAGTAGTAGTAGTAAAGTTGGAAGGGACCTTGGAGGTCATCTAGTCCAACCCCCTGCTCAGGCAGGAAACCCTATACTATTTCGGACAAATGGCTGTCCATTCTCTTCTTAAAAACTTCCAGTGTTGGAGCATTTACTGCTTCTGGAGGCAGGTTGTTCCACTGATTAATTGTTTTCACTTTCAGGAAGTTTCTCCGTAGTTCTAGGTTGCTTCTCTCCTTGATTAGTTTCCACCCATTGCTTCTTGTCCTGCCTTCAGGTGCTTTGGAAAATAGCTTAATTCCCTCTTCTTTATGGCAGCCCCTGAGATATTGGAACACTGCTATCATGTCCCCCCTTGTCCTTCTCTTCGTAAAACTAGACATACCCAATTCTCGCAACCGTTCCTTATATGTTTTAGCCTCCAGTCCCCTAATCATCTTTGTTGCTCTTCTCTGTACTCTTTCTAGAGTCTCAACATCTTTTTTACATCGTGGTTTTTTACATCTTTAATGTCAGTCTATTCCTACAGAAACCTGAGTACAAAATGTGGTCATCAGTAAGAGGGCTGTAACCCCCAGCATAGGGGGGAAACCATGTTTATTTCAGCCACTCCTTTCTGCACTTCTTTAACACAACCTTATCCAAACTGTGTCTTTCTTTGTGTGATTGGAGTTATAATCTTCCTTTCACAAGAGGGTGGGAAGACCATAAACTATCTTTCCCCAGTGGGCATATCCGCTGTGCACTTGTTATGCATTTTAATTGGCATACTTTCTCCTAGAGAACCCTGTTAATTGTAAGCTGCAGTGGTAATTGGAAATATCAGTTTGAGGTCATTGTGTTCCTTCCCTTTAAAACAGAACTACAATTCCCATTATCCCTAGGTTATAGTAAGCTGAAATCTTAATATTTATATGCCCACTCATGCAAAAAAGCAGGGATAGATCTTGGACTGCTGATTGATCTCTCTCTCAAAGATATACTCATTACGAGTTGAGACCTGTCAGACCCTCAATGCATTTAATCCATTTCATTTAATTCATTTCACTTCTTTGTGCATTCCATTTTTGGGTACTGCCATTCTTTGGAGAGGGGGGAGGTTCTGTGGGCTCTAAGATGTATTTCCTTTGCTTTATTCTATCTTCTTTGAAATCACCCTCTCTGGGTGTAAAAGATGAGGGATATGCCTGCAGCCATCTGCCTTGTCTCCATATGGATGAGACTGGACTGCAGAGGAACTGAAATCTTGAGAACTGCATTTTATCACTCCGGTTCCCATAACAACTTCACATCTATGGATTGGCTAAAATCAAACCGGATGGTTGGACATTAGGAAGGGGTTTGAAAGGACAGCTTTAATATGATATTTCATGTGGGAAGAATTTAGATCTTGTCTTGCTCTACTCTGCTATCACTAACTCTCAATAAAAGTTCCTGTTTGAAACAATGCCAGTTTCAAGAGTTTTGCTTTAGCACTAGTTGAGGCAGGTCCTTACCAGTATATTGCAATTGATCATCATTCCAAGTGTAGTGGGAAACCAAGCTGTCCCTTTACTGTGTATCTTCTCTTGTTCTTACATCCTTCATAGCTGAATCTTGAACAGCACAGCTGCAGAAATTTTATCTACTGGAAGGGTTCCAATATTTTAAACTAGGATATAATCTTATTTTAAAGGAAAGTTAATCTCTTAAAGTAGTAGTAATTTTCTTCTGATCTTCCTTGACTCCTTAATTGATTGTCTCAGCTGACCTGAGTATGTTATCGTGGCTCAGTATTACTCAAAACATTTACAGCTGTTATTCACTAAACCCAGTTGGTGGAAGCTGATCAGGTTAGCAGCTTTTGCATGGTGTCCTTAACTAGTCTAATGGATTATAATTTTCTGTCTTTCAGTTTAACCAGAAGGCACAACCTGTGTCCTGTTTTAAACATTTAGTCCAAGCTAATATCCGCAACAAGAAGGTCTTCAAAGAGGACGTAGAAGGAATGGAGGCCCAAGGAACCACTGATTATAAGGCTGGCTTTGAATATGCCTTTGAGCAATTGCAAAATGTAAGTCCAGGGTTTAAACTTGGAAGGGTGGAAGGTTAAGCATTAAAACGCCAGATTTCAAATAAGATGGAGGCAAAGAAATATGGAGCTGGAGAAGGGCCAAATTTGATATAAAATCATATGAAAAATTTTTAATGTTCTATTTGCTGAAAGCACCCAAGTGCAGGATTCTCCCAATCTAACCCCAGCAACTATCAAGGGGGGGAAACAATGAAAATCTCTGTAATTTTAGCTTGACCTTAACAAGTCTAAGCAGAAGGATTCCTGGAATTTTATGTTTGTGTTTCGGATTCTCCTAATATCATTACTGTGTTAAAAAGTAGAAGTGATTATGTTGGTTTAGTTTTCCTTGATGGGGCACTAAATAAATATATATTGGATAACAACCTGAGAAAATTGAACTCCAACTCTTACTCAGCCAAATGATCTACTGGTGGGCTTGAGTTGATGCTGTAATAAAATGAGGAAAGAAATCCTGCATGCGACTTTGGAGCAAGAGAATAGAAATGGAATAATACTGAGACCACAAGAAAAGAAAGAAATCCATTGTGTTTACCTGTAATTGCAAGGTTGTCCTTTTTCAGAACTCTGGAAAGGGCACTAAATTTTAACCTACATAGGCCTCTTATGACATTTGCTTCTTGTCACTTTTTTTTAATCTAAGTTTGCCATGATTTCTTCCTTGAACCTTGGGAATTGCATCAAGTTATAACACTCAGTGTAGCCCATTCACTCCACGGTGTCAAATGTTTGATGGCAGCCACAATTCACTTCCTTTGTTTTGTCTCCCTAGATAGATGCAACCTTCTAGTTTGCCAACTGCAGCTTTGCTCTTGAGATTTACTACAGCTTCCATTACTATGAGAACCCAGATTTGCACAACATTCCACAAACAGTGTCTCCCTTTGCTATATTTTGTTCTGTTATCTTAGCATACAGTTAACACTAGCCCAGCACAATAGTCTTTGATAAAAAATATTAAAGGACTGTGAAGGATTGTGGAACCTGTCCATTAAAGCCACAATGGTTTCCCCTTTTGGCTGCAAGTTCCAGAATGCCTGCAGCATAGGAATCTTTTCAGAACAGAAAGCCTATTGTATTTTAAATATTCTGCACTAGATAAAAATTGCCATTTGTAAGCACATTATATTGTAAGCACGTTATATATTTATATTCCTCTGTTTGTCCCATATGTAGATCATTTCTCTCGTAGAGTACTCAAGATAAAATACAAGATTCTTTTTCACACCTATCAACTGTATGAGGGAGGGGTTTTTTTTATACCTAGCAACCCTGTGAGGCAGGTTGGACCAAGATAATAACTGACACAGAATCATTAAACCTGTTTCTTGATTGAGAGGGGTTATTCTGATGATAATACAAGTAGCTCTCAGTTAACAACCATTGAAGTTATGAAAATCCTCCCCTGTCAAAGATACTAATGACCCAGTTCTGGAATTCTGATTGGCCCATGGTCATTTTCGAATGCTTGGTAACTGGCTCACATTTACAGCTATTTGGAGCATTCCATAGTCACGTGACCACAATTTTCAACATTTTTGGCCAGTTTCCACAGTTTACTACTTAGTTTTTTTGGCAAAAAATGGTCATTTGGTATAACAGATTTGTTTTACAGCCATCACATTCACTTAAGTGCTGTAAAAAGGTCATAAAATCTCATATGGTCATGTGGTAACCTGCTTAATGACTACCATGACTTATGACCTTAATTCTGAGTCAGTTATAATTGTAAATTGAGAACTAGCTGCACCACTAGCAACCATGCAAACAGGCATTGCTTAAACACTGCTATTTTGATCCTGCCACCAGCAAGAGTAGTTCATTAGCCAAAAGGACATCTGATGTGTATTTGTATCAATTTGTATCTCCTATGTACAAGCAAGGGACATCTATTCCTTGCAATAAATTTTAAAATATTCAGGTCTGTACCCCATTACCTTACATTGGCTCTGTCTTCTGATATGCTAGAACAGAAGGATATTTGCCCATCGAACAGCCTGGCATCTCTGGAATTGCCTTCATTGCAATTGTTCCCTGAAATATTTAATTCTTAAGATGACAAACAGAGCTGGAACCTTAATTATTCTTTTTCCTGACCATGTGAGGGGCTGAAACCAAGGATAAAGTTTCAGTGCTGGGTGCTTTCCCCTAGATAAATGAAAACTCCAGCAGCTGGTACTTAAATTTCATTGGAAACAGCTGCCTCTTCCATTTCATTATAAAGCTAGCAGGGTCCATCTGAGAAGACTTGGATCAGAAGGGTTATAATGACGTTGGACAAAATAAAGATGAATAGCTCTATTAAATGCTGAGCGGTAATAGCCACAACATAATTTTGGTCCCGACAGCAACTCCCTCTGCCTTGCTCATCTGTACCACCTTCACCCGTGGAGAATAGCTAAAGAAAACAGATGTCTCTCTGCCAGTGTCTTTAGAGGACAGCAACCAGGATGGGAAAGAAGTAGAACTGATAGCCTTGATATCTATTGCCTTCTGCTCTTTCCCATTACAAATACCCTATGGTTGTCCTCTATAGGGAAATGCCATCCTAGGGACACATAAGGAGATATATATATATATATATATATATATATATATATATATATATATATATATATATATATATATATATATATATATTTGTCCTTGATTATGCTAAAAATGCGAATCCTGGGTATACTCATACTTAAAAGAAACAATCGAACAGCAGGATAAAATACAAACAAAACTGTTTAATACACTTAGCTAAAAACAATACGGCCAATTGGGGCAGGTAGACCGGTAACTCACTCCATGAGCAGAGCGCAAAAACGGCCGGCCTTATAAGCAAGCTCCCAAAACTGGCTTATTCAGAAGTCTGAAAAATGCACCCTGATTGAATTGAGTTATGTATAGGAAAAAATATATGTGCCAAGGCATGTGTGTCTGTATTTCTGTAGTGAGCAACCTGCTTGTGTGTTGGTTTTGTTCTTCTCTTTAGATAGGAAAAGTATTAGTCCGAAGTCTCAAGTAAAATGTATACAAATGTGCAGAGTTCAAATTCTACACTGAAATCTGCAGGGTTTTTTTAAATAAATTGTTTATAACTCAAAATATGTATATGGGAATATGCATATTTAAGAAAAATATACAAAGAAATTTTTATTAGGAAGAAGCATGCAGAAAACCACATTCGGTTACAGAAAAGTTGCTTGAAGAAGCCATACTGCATACCTTAAATGCCAGTTTCCCACCAACAATTTATTTTCATCAAGTGCCCTTACAAATGCAGTATGTACTGTATGTTATTAGATTGTATCTCTCCCAGAAAAAAAGTGTACTTGGCTGTATGTGCTATACTTGCTGAAATCTCTGCTTATTTATAGTCCAACATCACAAGAGCCAACTGTAATAAGATGATCATGATGTTTACTGATGGAGGAGAAGATCGCGTGCAAGATGTTTTTGAGAAGTATAATGGACCCAACAAGACGGTGAGTGTTCAGCCTGAACTTCCCCTTTGGACATGACTATATTATGTCCCCAGGTGGGCAGCCGATATTACTACAGCCACCTACATGTCTCGGCAGGTTCACAATCAGATTAGAGAGCAGTATGTCCAGATGGTCCATTCTCAAAGGGGTCTTAAAGGGAAGGCCTACTAGGATTCCTCCAGTAATACCAAAATATTAACATCCGATCCTTTCCCCTTCCATGGTCCACATCCAAATCATGGCACAGTTCCAGCTTTATCCTCTCTGGTAATGCCATTGCCACGCTATAACTCCCATTCTCAGAGGCCAGAAATTGTATACTGGATCCTCAAATTGTTGCCAGCTTCAGTTCTGTGTTTCAGATATATGAGCTTTTGAAATCAAGAATCTAAATAATGAATAATAGATATAGAATACAACAGAAAATCAAGCACTTTTTATATAGATGCACAAATGTATTCTTTCTTCACTAAATATATAAAAATGCTATTTATATATATATATATACACGAAAATGCTAAATCAGCTTATTGGAAGAGACCTCACGTTGCTGCATTTATTAGCTTTCCGTCTGTAAAAAGGAATCTCTTCTGCATAGCCTCTGAGTTAAAATAAACTCTTAAAATTCTTAACCATCTGGTCTCCCGGATTTTTTTTAGAAAAGTTCTTAATTTCAGCTGTGCTTTAGCAGAGGTAACTGGGGAAGTCTCCACAAGAGACTTAATGAATCAGGATTTGTTTTACTCTTCTACCATGACAATCACATTTAGTTACAATTCAGCTTCAACAAATATGAATAAGCTGGTAGAGTCAGTTCTTCCTGGGGTCCAGAAAAAGGAATTCTGTAAAATCCACAGATTTTTTTTTCTGCCAGGAAATCCTATCTAAATAAAAGGGTATGCAAAGTAAAAATAATAATAAAGACCGAGTGAAGAATAGAAAGAGATGTGGCAAAGCAAAATATTACATGGCCAGTATACAGGCAAAGCATATAATGAGACCTGGCAATGGTGGAGACCAGTTAAAAGAAAGAGAAAAGGGGGCTAATTCTGGCTGCACAAGATCAGGCCTTATGGACAAATGAATACAAAGCCAGAATTGAGAAGACAGCAGCAGACAGCAAATGCTGTCTCTACAAAGAGGCTGGAGAAACTGATCCACCTGGTTAGCTGCTGCAAGAAGATCACACAGACTGGCTACAAACAACGGCATGACAAAGTAGCAACAATGGTCTATTGGAAGACCTGCAAGAAATACCATTTGCCTACAAGCAAGAACTGGTGGGACCGTGAAATAGAAAAAGTAATAGAAAATGAAGACGCTAAAGTACTCTGGGACTTTAGAATTCAACAGACAACACCTGCCTCATAACACTCCAGACTTCACAATTGTCAATAAAACAGGCAAAAAAGTCTGGATAGCGGCATGGCAGCAGTAGAGAAGAGAAAGAACAGGAGAAAATCACAAAATACAAAGATCTGCAAATAGAAATAGAATGTGACAAAAGAAAGCAAAGGTAGTACTAATAATAATAGGCACCTTGGGTGCAATCCCAAAACATCTGGAGCACCATTTGAACACTATCAGCATTGACAAAATCACCATCAATTATTGCAAAATGCAGATTTACTTGGAATAGCTTGCCTTACATCCTGTGATGATGCCTTTAACACCAGCCAACACCAACAACTGGTTATCTCAAGTCCTTAGAAAGGACTCGATTGGGAGATAAAAATGCTAAATCCAATCTAAACCTCTGGCTAACTGTGCAATTAGCCATAACCTAACAACAACTTGTGAACACCTTCCTCTCCTCATTCCATGCCATTATTTGTCTTGTTCTAAATTTTCATCCTTTGACTCCAGTGGGTCTATTTTACAACAAAGAAAATGACTGTGCAGTGGCTAAGTTAAATACCCTTCTTCTGATTGCCCCATATGCACATTTGATTTTTTCCTGAAGAAAATGCAGGTAAAGTCATAAATTGCCTATCTTCGACTCAGATACAATAATAATCTTTCTCAATGAGGATTTCTGTGTGAGTCAATAACAATGCCAATATAATCAAATTCTTGAACATAGGATATATTCCTATAGAAATACCAAACAATTGAAGGCCCAGCTGTCTGACTTGCTTCAGTTCAGTCATGGGGACAGACAGGAGTAGCTAACTCAGGTTTTATCCGCCTCATTTGATGCCAGCTATTTAGACAGTTGATCTTCCTGCCTGTCTGCTCCTGCACTGAGCCGCTGCCCCTTTAATGGGGCGTCTAACATACGGTACTGGTTTTATTGCTTGCAGTGACCTTGAAGTGCCAGAAGGAAAAGTGGACAGAACTTCCTTTGAAAGTTTGTAGAGGCTGTTTCTACAAGAAAAAAAAATACCTTTTGTTAATATGTTGGATTTTTGAGATATCCCATCGAAGTCAATGTATAATGAAATGTCAACCTGTTAATGGAAGTTCAAATTAAATGGCTTAGACTCAAAGTCACATAACTTTTGTACTCTTCATGTTCACATTCTTTCTCCCTCTTCATACAAAGAAATAAAGGAGAGGGATATGTCTCTTTTGCATTTTTGGGGAGAGGATAGTTTTACTCAGCAGGAGTAATAGAAAACTTGTAGCTATCAAAATGTTGCTGATTACAAATACCAGCAGTCCCCAGTCACTTCTGTGCCAGGACAAAGTGGAAAGGAAAGGAAAGGAAAGGAAAGGAAAGGAAAGGAAAGGAAAGGACCTCACTTTTCTAACTTATTGTATATAAGTCTTATTAATGTAACTAACACCTAATGGGCATTAGAAAGAAGACAGTTGTCACGATTCCTTCAAAATTCATCCTCAGTTTTTCAATATCTAAATTTAATTTCAGTTAATGTATACATCTGAGAATGGAAATTGGCGGCGAGAACTTGTTGATTGGAAAGGTGAAAGTGAGGATTAATTTAACATCCCCTGAAATATTTTAGAGAGGGCAAGAAAAAGAGGTCTCCAGTATTTTAATAGGTCCAAAATAGAACCCAGTTCAGTTTGTTTAATTGATTGGAAGTGTGAGATGGCTCTAGAGAAAGGATTCAATTTATAGAACTCAAATTCTACAAGGTGACGATGATAGAAGTTGTAATCCAATGTGATTAGAAAGGCCTCTCATTTGAAAGTCTGAATTACAGGGATTCCCTCCAGATAATACTGTATCCATAATTCCCAGTAAGTGAAGAAGAGGAAGCATAGGAGACTTTTCTTTACCTCTGCAATTTCTATCGGAGACAAATAATGATTGCATGAAGAGAAAAAAAACCATTTATTGATTACGGTATACTTAAAAACTGTGGATGGTAAATATAAACCAATATAATATCAACATAAAATATTCCCCAGATAAACAACAATAAAACCATAATAAACATAACAATACAGAATAAAAACAAAAGTAAAAAAGAATAAGAGCAATTTTGGATGCTACTCACAGTCTAATCACTGCAGCATTAATAATATAAGGTTGTATGGAAAATCCTAGCCCTCTTGAAACAAGGCCAGGAAGGTGTCATCTGAACCTCTCAGAGGAAAATTGCTCCACAAGATGGAGGTCACCAGAGAGAAACAAAGTTTGCCCCTCCCACCTCACTGATGTGGGCACACTGACTACTCCCATTTGAAATGAGTAGCCTGGTCTAAGGATGATGAAGTTATGAGTGATATTATTAAAGCAAGAAGTTGGCACATCCAATAGCTGTGGAACTATTTTCTCTGTCTCCCCTTCTCCAAGAGAAGGGGATGAAATTGGCAATAAGAGAAGCTGGAGGGCAGCTATTTATGCACAGTATTTCAAAAGTATTTTGTGTATGCTTATGGGGTGTTCCCCCTTCAATAAAAGGGGACTGGATCCTTCCATAATATAATACATTTATTATCCTTCCATAATACATTTATTTATTTATTTGACCACTAGGTTTTTCCTCTTAGGAAATGTGGAAGCATGTGAGCACTGATTAAGACAAACAAGCAAATTCTTTCCTTGATATGAAACTGAGCAACAGGGCTATTACAGAAGCCATTCAGCAGCAACAACAGTGCTGTTGTAAGCCACCCAGAATCATTTTAGATGGGTGACCATATAAATCTTTTAAACAAACAAACAAACAAAGCAAGACTGCCTAGAACCATTTGATTTCTTCATAAATATGATCCAAAATCAATAAAATAATATTTGGTTCTTTGGATCAATCAATATAGGTATAACAGCTGCTTGAAAATGCATGGCCAATTGCCATTTTGCATATGGTTTAGTTTTTGCCACAAAACTGCCAAAATAATCAATCAGTAAGTAGGGGGATCAAATCAATATGTTCTTGCATTTTCGGTCCTTTTTTCCTACATCTATCCCAGAGGTTGTCATATATATTCAGATTAACAAAAAAATAAGCTCCTAAACAGAGCATTATAAATTGCAATGAGTGTTCTTCATACCATACTACTGTCAGGTATTATTCTCTCATATGTTTAGCAAAGCAATATGAAATGCACAGTAGTCTCTTGAAAAATTCCTGCATATGTATATATTTATTTATTTGTATCCCGCCTTTATTTTTTTACAAATAACTCAAGGTGGTGAACATATCCAACACACCTTTCTCCTCCTATTTTTTCCACAATGACCTTGTGAAGTGAGTTGGCTTGAGAGAGCGTGACTGGCCCAAGGTCATCCAGCTGGCTTTCATGGTGAAGGTGGGACTAGAACTCACAGTCTCCCCCTTTCTAGTTTGGTGTCTTAACCACTAGACCCAACAGGCTCTCTATGTTGAGCATACTTGGTTAAAGACATTTTTGCCTATGATTATTTTTTTATTTATTTCAATTATATGTCAGCCCACCTCACAAAAAGAACTACAGGAGGCAAACACAATTAAAAACATCAATAAGAGAGAGAGAGAGAGAAAAAAAAAAACAATGCAAGAAAAGCAAAAAAAAAGTCTGAGAATAACTCACCAGCAATAAATTAATAATAACAATATAAGATTGTTTTCCATAGACCACCCAGAGCTGATCCAAGAGGATATCATGATGATGATATTGAAAGCTGCTGAAAGGTCAAGAAGATGTACTTTCCCAAGCTCAGTCAGTGCTGTTTTGGTCCATGTCTAGACCTGAAACCCTACTGAAAGGAGTCCATTTCCTCCAGTGTTTTCTGAAGCTGCAACGCAATAATCTTCTCAACAACCTGATTAGGGATCAGATGGACAATGGAGGTTGAGGAAAAGTCAGACTTCTGCTTTCTTATCTATCAGCAGGATCATCCCCTCCCTTAAAGATGCATTCACCACTACCAGAGGCCACCCATATATCCTTTCCTGAGAAACCTTTCTAGCTTGCATGGATCTAACACAGAGAAGCTGAGCTCATGGCTCTGAGAACTCACATATCATCAGAATGATGAGCTTTGATGAATGCTATAGACATGATATTGGATATTAATTTCAGTGGAACCATGGCCGATAATAATAAATAAAGTCACTCCAGAAATTCAAGAGTTAACAATAATTTTGTCAAAAACATAGTCACAAATAATTAAAATAACTGAATGAAATTATTAATACAGCACTGAATTGTCCTGCAATGAGTTGTCCCATGATGAGTTGATTGTGGCGAATTGTCCCATGGCAAGTTAACCATGGCAAGTTGTCCTCTCAGCATCTCTTAAGACACAATAAGGCTTTTCCACATTTTTAGCACAAATGGCAGATTTTTATATATATATATTAGGAAAGAAGGTGACTAATGGTCAAACAGATAGATCTAACATCATTGTGCTATTCCAAGTTGTAGGAATTTTTGCTAGTACTTGAATAGGCATATTGGTAGATTTCATTTACAAGAGTTTACAATGAAGCCATTTAGGTATGGGATAAAGTAAGAGAACGATATGCTCATTTACTGTTGGACGTTCCAAATTTTTCTCTCTTTGGTAGACATACTCCTTACAGGTTGGTTGTTTTGTTCCAGGTACGAGTATTCACCTTTTCTGTTGGACAGCATAACTATGATGTCACTCCCCTGCAGTGGATGGCTTGTGCTAACAAAGGTAGGTTGCCTTCTCCTGCCTCTTCAAAATGTTCAATTTTGCTCAGGAGCAAAGTTGCCTCCTCTTACAGTACTATATAAAGTGGGGGAAAGGGACACAGCCTTTGCTGGTCAAAAGTTAGCTTGCTATTTCCCAGAGATTGGAGTGGGTAACTTGCCCCTTTTCACTCAGGTCACAGCTATCATTCTGTATTTCGGTGATGGGCTGTTGGGAATGGGAGCTACATTCCCAATAAATCTGGCCAGCATTTGGAGGGAACAGTTGATATAAAGTAGCTTTATATTGGAAGAAGAGGGTATTCCGTATTGAAAGATTAAATGATTAATGCACTGCTGCTTATCTATTTGCCAAATAAACAAATTACCTAGGAGAATCATAACATTATTTAGCTGAAAGGGATCACAAAGATTATGTAGCCCAACCCATTTCAATATATAGGAAGATCAATTAAACTACCCATGAGAGCTGGTTTTTCTGCCTCTTCCTCAATATCTCCATCCAAGCCACAATTTCCACAGGCAGACTCTTCCATAGTGGTACAGATTAGTTTTTTCTAATATTTCTAATACTTATATGAAGTCTAGGTAGCTGCAAGTTAAATCCATTATTTCTGATCCTACTTTCCATGTCGGCTTTGGCTTGTTTGTTTTGTGGAAAGAAGGTAGGAACATTACCAGAATTAATAGAACTCTCATTTTGTATGAAAAAATGAGACAGGCTTGATTTTAGGTAATACCAAAACCTGTATACAGTTAGGGTCAGGAGACATTATCCCTTGGCTTATTTCCTCTGCTCTCTGATATTAATGTGGCCACAGACCCCTTTATAAGGTCTCTGAAGCTGCTCCCCCACCACTGCTCTGACGGCTTGTCACATTCAGACAGTCTTTTAATCTCCTCACCTTCCTCTGTATCAGAAGCCTTCTGGCTGTCTCTCATTTATCTGAAATTGCCTCCTGTGCCCTTTTGTTCTCTAGGGCTGGCTTTCTGTTCACGCTGTCTGTATCTTTCAGCAGGTGGTGGAAGTCTGTGAACCTTTGGGCTGGCAGTAATCCATCTTCCCATTGTTCTGCCCTGTGGAAATATCTCTAGACAGAATAGCCAAGTGCCCACTTCTCTCTTTCATCCATTTTGCTTTCTTGTCCTTTTCCATTTCAGATCAGCCCTGCACATAGCAACTAATTCTCATTGTAATTCTGATGTTAGTCTCCCTTTTAGGCTTTAAGTATTTCTTCCTCCTTCCAGCCTAGTCATCATGCATCATTGTATGCCTGCAAGTGTTTTGATTGCCACTGCATCCAAGTAGAGAAGCTTCGTGAAAAAAAACTTCTCAGAGTTTTGCTCAATTTATATTAGCTGCTGCCATTCTCTGGCCAATCCTTTCCACTTTTTTCATATCATCAAGTAATGCAGGATCAGAATCATTTGCCAAGGTTTGCTTTCAACTTTTTAAAAATCAAGTTTGAATAAATACAGCTATTTTTTTTTTTTTGCCTCAACTGCTTCATTGAGTTAATTAATTTGTATAGAACAGGAGTCTTCAAACTTGGCCCTTTTATGACTTGTGGACTTCAACTCCCAGAATTCCTCAGCCAGCATGCCTGGCTGAGGAATTCTGGGAGTTGAAGTCCACAAGTCATAAAAGAGCCAAGTTTGAAGACCCTGCTATAGAACAAGGCTTACCAGAGTTAACCTAGAAACTGATGTCACTACAATTCCAGATTATTGAAGGTGAGGGTGAAACTTTATTCAACAGTCCTTTTGTTGCTGTGCTCCAAGATGTCACTGAAGTCTCAATAAATTAATAAGGTTACCCAACTGAACTAAGATATTTGAGGCATCTTTTCACTGATTATTAATACTAAACTAGGCTTCTTCAACTCAAGGATCTCCAGATGAGTTGGGATAGTGACTCAGAATCTTCAGCTATTGTGCTATACTAAACACACTCCATTTGTTCCCAACAGACATTAGTTGAATGGACCTTTAGATGAGGTTATAAGGTATCTTGGAAGACACAAATGAAAACATACTGCATTTTGTAAATCAGTTCAGAAATTAAAGCACTGTGATTTAAATTAGACAAGTACATCGGATGTGTGCAACTGATGTGAAGATTTTTTACTAAACAGGAACCTACAAATCATGTGTTTTGAGCAGAGAATTTGGGAATAAAGTTCCTTAATCTTTATTCTACCAGCATTTTTTATTTTATTTTATTTATTAAATTTGTTTGCCACTCATCTTGCCAGTTTATTTTTAACTTCCCCCCATTCCCTTTTGGCATTCGGAACTCATGATATTTACTTACTGTTTATTCATGTAAATACCTGATGCTCATTCATTAACCCTCAATAAGAATATTAATAAGAACCTCACGTACTGTAACATCTAGCTTCCCCCCCCCCAAAGAGCTTAATTTTAGAAAAGAGAGATTTTGACAATTATTTAAGCCCCGTGGATTTTTGTTTGTTTGTTGACTTACTTATTTTAACGACTTGTAACTATATGAACCCCTTCAGCCTCCTTTTGCCTTTTTTTCCATATTCTCTTTAAAAAAAACCACCTGTTTTTGACTGAAGGTTCTGTGTGCTGCTTTGTTCTTGCAGCCTTTGTTCTGAAGGGCACACGAAGCAGGAGGAGACCCTTTGTTTCTTGAGAGTTTTGTAATCTCCTGCTGCTGATCCCTCAGGTCTGGGTTTTTGACATCAAAGGTATTTGGACAGCAACAGTGACATCATACTTAGGAAAAGTTCCATTGTAAACAGCAGGAACTTCTGAAGGAGAGAGAAAAAGATGTCAGTAGTTAGAACAAGAGGAGTAACCTATTGTTACTGATAGCTAGCTACCACCATAACTTTCTCAAGAATAAAAAGAGCCAACTCGTTTCAAAATGCCACAAAAGAAAAGCTCATGGCTCTATTGTTGCACAGCAGAAGCTGCATGAGGTGCAAGATGATTGAGTGGGCAAGAAAGAGCAAGGGACAAAAATCTTGAGAAAGAAAAGTTTTCTGTAAAATGTATGTTCCATTATTATATTAGTTAGATGGCACATTTGAAGAACATCAGGTTGGAGAAAGCTGTCATAATACTTCCGGTGTTTAATCACAGGAGAAAAAAACCCTGTAACAAAAGGGAAATGCAGATTAAACGATAGACTTTTACAACTTATATAAATCTTTGTGATTAGAGATGGTTTGTAAAAAGAGCACCAGGATCTCAGGAGAAACAGCACTTACCTTAAACATCACAACATTTCTCTGGAGTTACATACAGTCCCATCCCATGGTCAGATTCAAGTCATTCCAGAAACTTTTAGAAACTGCAATCAGGTCGGATAGAGAATAGATATTGATGTGGGGTGAAAACTGTTGAGGCATAGGGGAGTCAAACTCTGGCTCCTCACCTTTAAAAACATCACATCTCCAGCTGAGGCTGCTCCAAACCTTTCATATGGGTTATTGTTGATTTGTATACTATTCCCACCCTGCTTTCTGATTTAGGAAGAATGATGCTGTGGATTTTCAGAACAATTTGGGATATTTTTGCATTGTTTGGGGTTAAGGAGTGGGAATGGAAATAATTTGCCACTCAGAGATCATCTGCATTCATTGCCACCATTAATTTTAAAAAGAAAAAAAATACCACCAAAAATCGATAACTGGGTGCTAAATTTGTGGTTTCACCCCAACCTATACCTTAATCCTTCATTTTATCTAGCAATTGATGCTGGCATGGTTAGTACTTTCCCAATCAACCTTTTCCTCATGATTTCATTCTTTTATTTCTCCATGTTACTTGGATTACAAGATTATTCAGTGCTGAATGCATGATTTACACCCCATTAATATTCAGTCATATAACAATCTGGAGAATTTTTGAAGGCAATTCAGTTTCAATATAATATGACATTATCTTCTAACCACTTCTAAGTCTGGACAATCACCACTCCCACTCTTAAAGTAATTTCTCTACAGCCCCAGCAGTACAGTAAAGGCTATAACAGTACAGCTTAAGCAGCTTTCAGTCCACAGTAGATCTCAAGGTTGTAGCGACAAAGTCTATTTGCATTCATGGAGAGTTTTGGGTTTTTTTACCCAGAATTGCTAATTAAATCTGTCACCTGAATTGAAATGGTGGAGATAAATTATTGCATCTTTTTAGATCAGCCTTTTAACATTTAGCTCTTGGTGACTGTAACTATCATGGCTTACCTGTTTACAAAATTGAAGAAATATAATGGCACATCAAGTCATTTATGGCTGATGAATTTGCTGTAAATGAAGATTCGGAGAGAAATAGATAGAAAACTGTAAAGTTCACAGGGAGACTACTAAACAGACATTGTGTCTGCAGAGGTAGATGCTGTAGAGAGATGGAAAGTGCTGGAGGCAGTGAGGGTCACACCTGCCAAGAGTTGGACTGGAAAGAGATCAGAGCAAATGGGCCTTATGGATGCACTGGTGCTAGGCTTTGAGGCCCAAGTATGTACATTTATTATTATTATTATTATTATTATTATGGATCATCGCACAGTCAGCCAGATGTTCAGACTGGATTTGGCATTTTGTCTACCTATCGAGTCCTTACCCCGGACCTGGGATAGGCAGATCTGGATGTTTGATGGTATTACAGATATCGTCGCAGGATGGAAGCAGTTCCTAATAAGGCTGCCTTTTGCAATTGACTAATAGCGAATTTGTCAATGCCAATGGTGTTCAAGTGGTGCTCCAGTTGTTTTGGGATTGCAACCAAGGAGCCTATGACTATTGGTACTACCCTTGCTTGCTTTTGCCACAGTCTTTCTATTTCTATTTGTAGGTCTTTGTATTTTGTTATCTTCTCCAGTTCTTTCTCTTCTATTCTGCTATCTCCAGGCACTGCCACGTCCAATATCCAGACTTTTTTGTCTTTCTTATCGACAATTGTTAAGTCTGGGGTGTTATGTTGCAGGTGCTTGTCTGTTTGAATTCTGAAGTCCCAGAGCAGTTTAATTTTATCATTTCTATGACTTTCTCTATTTTATGATCCCACCAGTTTTTGCTTACAGGCAAATGATATTTTTTGCAGATCTTCCAATGCACCATTGTTGCTACTTTGTCATGCTGCTATTTGTAGTCAGTCTGTGCAATCTTCTTGCAACAGCTTACCAGGTGGTCCACTGTTTCTTCAGCTTCTTTGCATAGGCGGCACTTACTGTCTGTTGCTGTCTTCTCAATTTTGACTTTATATGCATTTGTCCTTAAGGCTTGGTCTTGTGCAGCCAGCATTAGTCCCTCGGTCTCTTTCTTCAATTTTCCTGCTCTTAGCCATTGCCAGGTCTTGTTATTATCTGTTTTCCCAGCTATTTTTTTAATGTATTGGCCATGTAGTGCTTTGTCTTCCCATGCCTCTATTCTGTTCTTCATTTGGTCTTTCTTGTAGGCCAGTTTGGATTATTGTTGTTCTTATTATTAGTATTAGTATTATTAGTATTAGTATTATTTATGTATTGTGTGTGTGTGCCTTTGAGTCAGTCTTGACACCTGACGACTGCCTGGACTAGTCCCTGAAGTTTTCTTGGCAAGATTTTGGAAGAGGTTTGTCATTGCCTCCTTCCAAGGGCTGAGATAGAATGGCTGGCTCCAGGTAATTCATCTGGGTTAATATCTAAAACAGGATTAGTATTCCCAATACAACTATATGCCAAACAGACCCATAGATGCGCATAGTTATTTGTTAGATGTATATTCCACATTTGCCTTAAGAATTCAAGGCACATGTATAGTGCTTCTTCTCCAATTCTTCTCCACAACCACAATCCTATGAGGTAGAGTGGGGTGAGAGAATGACTGACCCAAAGTCATACAGTAAAGCACCAAGGCTCAGAGCAGACTTAAACCTGGGTCTCCATGATCACATTACACTACTCTATACTATACACTAGTGGCCAAAATTGTGGAAACCTTTTGGGGAAAGTGTATTTTTGAGGTTTGATGGCTAATAACACCACTTTTTTGGAGTGGTACCATAAAATTATATATCAATGGAAAGATAATTTAATCAAGAATGTAATGCAACAAAGTTTGTTCAATTATCTGTACTGTATTCTATGAACGTTATAGCCAAATAACCAGAAAAAGGAAGCACAACTTGCTTAGGTTGATATCAGGTAGCTTTCCTTCATCTGATTGTAGCCAATGAGCATGAGTGTTTAGAGAGCCAATCAGGTGTCCTCTTGTTTTGGCAATGAGCCAATCAGATCACAGTAGGATTCAGTTATTGATGTCATGTATTGAAGCTGAGAGGAGGACATTTGTCAATGTGTTATGTGTTCACTATCAAGTTGGTTGGGTTTTTTTTTTCTTTCATTTAGTGAGCTTGTAAAACATAATAAAATTAAAGTAATGGTGCAAAGAGTTGACTGGTTGCCCAGAAAGCGATGTAAAATAGTATTATGAAGTGAACAAGGCTACAGTTATAAAGAAATTAGAAGAAAAACTGGTGGAAACTTAACCAAAGGTGGCATTTCTACTGTACACTTTTCCCAAAAGGTTTCCACATTTTTGGCCACTGCTGTAATTATTGCTGTTCCCATTGTTCCCAGTTACATCGTAACAGCCTTCCGGGAAAGGCACTTGTGATACAAAAAAAAAAAAATGGAGAGAATTGTTGTTTTTTGTCAATATCCAAACTTATTTTAAAAAGAAGGCAGGGCATTTCATACAACACCATTTCCATTCCCAAGTCCCTCCAAAACTGCTCAAAGCAGATCTGCTGAGCATATTCATTTCTGCTGCTCTTAAAATCAGAAGGCATTGAGCCAATCAATACTCTCTCTCCAGCTGATCAATTGGAGCTCACATAAATAAACCTTCATTCAATCAGGACCCATCAAGTCTTTGAGGTAGGCCAGGCCAAGGTACAGACCTGCAGGGATTTCAGGAATGCTAATTTATTCCTGTAGGGTATATTAATAGAATCTTCAAAGCTTGTCCAAGTTTCTCTTTATCCAGTATTATACTAAAATCAAGCAGGATTATGCTGTGTTTCTTTCTTATGTTACTCTTCATCCTTAAACCCTTTAATCTTTTTTCCAAATCCCTCCTTAATGGCTTGCTCCTGCCTTCCTCTTAACAGTTCCTATTCTCTTAACAGTTTCCTCACCCTGAAGATCACCTCAAAATGCCCTGGTGCCCAGACTACTATTTCTCCAGGAATAACACAAGTTCCCTCATCTCCTCTTCACACTTCCAAAAAAAAAACAAGTTAATTGCTAGTACTCTCACTCTGTGCACTCAGTACAATTTAAATGTTTTTGCTTGACCGTTAAAAAAAAATCCGAGAATTTATAATGGGAAAAGGCAAGCCTCTACCTCATAACTGCTATTTATTGTAACTATAGTGTTAAATGTCTGTGGAGATTCTCAGTCATCCAGGTCATAGTTGTCCCGAAGCTGCTTTTTCACAAGGCAACTGGACTTTCTTGTTTTTCCTTTGAAGATGCTTCCCTTGTCATCCAAGAAGCTTCTTCAGCTGTAACTGCAAATGATCAGCTGTCTGCAAGGAGTATACTATAAATCCTTCCATTCCCCACCATCTAGTCAGAACTGAAGAAGCTTCTTGGATGAGAAGCAAAATGTCTTCAAAGGAAAAACAAGAAAGTCCAGTAGCCTCGTGAAAAAGCAGCTTCAGGACAACTATTGTGTTGTTTGTTATAATACAATTGTTAGTTGATAAGGTATTTGTAATTTGTTCCATGTTCTACCTGCATGTATATAAACAAACCGCCTTCCTCTCACTCCTCCCACTTTATCCCACTTTAAATCCCACATTAGTTAGATCAGCGGTTCTCAACCTTTGGGTCGCGACCCGATTTGGGGTCGAACGACCATTTCATGGGGGTCGCCAAACACGGCTGTCCACCATTTTTTCCCCTTTTCTTTAGCTGTGCTACTCCCTCTTATTCTATTGGCTTTTGAAAGCCAATAGAATAGACTCTATTCAAGAGACTCTATTCTATTGGCGTTCGAAAGCCAATAGAATAGGCTGTCTCTGCCCTGCTGAGCCTGCCAAAAGCCCCAGTCTGCAAACGGTGCTGCAAGGTGAACTTTCCGGAAAGCTTCCCTCCCTGCTGAGCAACTACTAAAAGTAAGTAAAAGAGGGCCAGGGGTGGGAGGTGGGAGGCTGGCAAGTGCAGGGAGGGTTGCTGGCGCGCGTGGGGCCCGGCAGATGCCCTACCTGCCTTGGGCTGGGCCAGCTGGTGGCCCAGCCAGTGGTCGCCCTGCACCCTCGCTGCCGCTTGCCATGGCCGCCCAGGAGCTCCTGGGCCTGCCTGCTGCCACCCTGAATGGGTGGTGGCCAAGGTAAGGCTGGCAGGGCAGCGGCAGGCACAGGGAGGGTTGCTGGTGCGCGTGGGGCCCAGCTGGTGGTCGGCCTGCGCCTTCTCTGCCACTTGCCAGCTACGCCTCGACTGGTGCAGGGGGTGGCACCACGCATGCGCGGCGCTCCCGGGAAGAGAAATTCAGGTAGTCCTCGACTTATGACCGGTTGCGGGGTCATGGCATTAGGAAGGTTGAGAACCGCTGAGTTAGATGAAGAAACCTGAAGCGCAAAAAAAGCTTATGTCTTCCAGTAACATTTGTTAGTTGTAAAAGGGGCTGCCGGATTCCTGATTTTTGCCACCATAGTCTAACAAGCTTTCCTCCTACAGTGTCTAGCCATTGTAGTTTCTTTTTTGCTGCATTTTAGATTTAAAACTCTAAAAACAGGGATCAATTTTTCTTGTGCTTATGGATGGATGAAAAGAAAAAGAATTTAAAGTATCAGACTTGTTCTGCATTTGAGAAGAATATACTTGATCACTGAAAATATGTACAAGCAACTAAAACAGAAACAGAAATGTTTAAAAATGGACTCTTTGGGCTTCCACCTGCCTTAGTTTAGTTTAGTTTAGTTTAGTTTAGTTTAGTTTAGTTTAGTTTAGTTTAAAAAATATGGGAATTCAGTTTCAATACCTCTTTCCATGTGTGTCTCTCTATATACCTCATATGTGCGTACGACTACCATGAAGACCGTGTAAATTAATATTCAGGTTTTACAGGCTTTGATTAAAGTATTAATTGGGAGAATTGCAGATGACACACCCCACATTCTAGCAAATCTTCATCAGCAAGAGAGATGGCTGCTATGCAGTATTTGTAGACTATGAAGGTTTGAACATGGGGAAGTTGGATATTGGAGGATATTAATTAGTTGATTGCTGGAATGGAGTTGCCTCTCTTTTGATGGGTCCACTTTGTCTGCTTGCTCTGGTGGCCCGGATTAGGCATCTGCCTGGGTGGTCCATCATATTTAGTGAATGTTGCCATCCAGCCAGGTGTCTGAAAGAAACCAGTGACTGCTGGCAGTTGATGGTGAGACAGAAGACGCTCTTACTCGCCACCTGTCAAATTAAAGAAGTAGGTGAAGATGCCAAAGCAGGTCAGCTGAGTTGAATCCAACCAAATTAATGGCTCAAGACCCTCCTTAAACATGATGATTGTATTGGCTTATCTCAACAGAATTTCTGGATCTCAGATAGGAAGCTGTTTGGGGATGATGCAATCAAAATTTAGTGAGTTTGAGCTTAGTTAACTCATTGTTGCATGTAGCCTGCATCAGGTATACCAAATATTAGATTAAAAAAAAGGATTTTGTTCTGAAAACCAGTTCTTCTAACATTAATTTTGTGTGTTTGTGTGTGTGTCTATTTTTTTTAAAGGCTATTATTTTGAAATTCCTTCCATTGGCGCTATCCGAATCAACACTCAGGTAAGAAAAGACAGAGTGTGAACTCAGTCCAAATTATTTCATTTGTGAAGGGGATTAGGAGGCAATATTCTGTAGAGTTAGAATTTGGGGTTTCTCTTTCTCACAACTGCGTGGGAGGCAGCACTGAGGCTTGCATTGGAAATCAGGAGAAATTCCCTCCACTACTTTTTCTTCAGTAGAACTCTGTTAAGTACAAATTTTGAGTTTAGTCCTGTATATCTGAGAATGTAAAAGAGAGATCCGTTGTAAGTCACCTGACTTATCAGAGGAACTCCAGGTGCATTTGTTTGTTTGTAAGCAGTCTAAAATGAAGGTATCTCTGTCTGTCTATCTGTCTATCTATCTATCTATCTATCGATCGATCTATCGATCGATCGATCTATTAAATTTATGTAACTATATACATTCATATCATATCACCAAAGGTGACTGTGGGTGGCTCATAACTAAAGAGAAAACCATATATCACAATGTCTGTGGAGATTCTCAGTTATCCAAGTCCTGGTTGTCTCAAAAGTGCTTTTTCAAAAGGCAGTTGGACTATGTTTTTTCCTTGAGGAAGAAGACATTTCGCTTCTCATCAGAGAAGCTTCTTCAGTTCTGACAACTGAAGAAGCTTCTGGGGTGAGAAGCGAAACTTCTTCCTCAAGGGAAAAAAACATAATCCAGTTGCCTTTTGAAAAAGCACCATTGACATGTGTATCGCAATGACAGTATAAAAGATAAAATTTACTTTAAAAAGTAAATATTGTAAAAAACAAAGAGACAAAGCCTAGGGGAAAAAAGGATAAGCATAACCAGCTGAGCCGTGGAGCCATCTGAGCAAGTCTCTAGTAACCTGAAAGCCTTACAACTTACAATTGTAAAGGATGTTTTTCAGAAAATAAAAATAAAAATCATGTCAAGTGACCGTGGAACAATGCTAACCACCCATAAAGGCAATCTGGTTGTCAAGTGCCTGAAATGCAGTCATGTTACTTTTGGAGGATGGGGTACCACAGTCAAATCTGGAACTGGGTCATAAGCACCTTTTGGGGGGGTCCATCATAACGGAAATGGTCACTAAGTGAGGACTACCTGTAACCCATTTCAGTGGGAAGAACTTAACTGTAATTTGTATAAACCTGCATACTGTAGTTGTTACTTTTTTCTTAGTTCTTGAGGGAAATACTGTTGACTCAAAACATAATGGAAGAACGGCATAGAGAAAGTGATAAGATGGTATTGTTTAGAATTTAGTTTTTGAGAAAAAGTTTCTAATGTTCTCCTTTCAAAAGAGTTCAGGGTTTTATTTAAGTTCACTCCTGAATTTGGCAACCGTGCTATATTGAAATATGACTCTGAGCATGTGACAGGCTATTACACAGGAAAGGATCAGCCCCATCACAACATGAATTGGCTTTGAATGAATAAGATGATGCTAATAAACTCAGTCAGTTTCAGTCTTTCTGAACCATTCTTGTCTCCTGACAGCAGAATTTGAAGTTCCAGCAAATGTCTCCAGTCCTACTATGTTTTATCTGGCAGTATCATGGATTGCCTTGTTCTGTGTACAAAACACCATTATTTAATAAAGCCATAGCCATTTCTTTAAGAGGAATATCTTCCATACATCCTATATTTCCATATTACTATTACATGGTAGAGATCTGCTCTGCCTCAGTAGATTCATGTAATGTGCATGTAACTTTGCAAGTTGTCTTAATTACTTATTCGGTATTCCTGTTCTGCCATTTTCTTGCCTCACAAAAATGTGTTAGTTCCTCTCTTGTTACAGCCTCACATTCCTCCTAATTTGATCATCTTCATACAAAGCTGCACTAATATCCAAACCAGCAGAGACTTGCTCATGAAGTGCTTGTGTGCTTGTTACAGGGACTTGTATTTACGTAACTAATTATTAAAACTTTGTGCCTGAATCAGCATGCGGAGAACCAAGCCAAATCGCCAGATCTGTCAAGCTAATAAAGCCAACAGGCAACAAGCGAGAGAAAGAGCATGGGATGAGTTATAAGTGCCCTGGAAATGGGGTGACGAGGCAGAGCTAATAGCTTTCCATTCAAATGATGCTGGAATCTCCAGGCCTAAAGCCCACAGGGAAAATGGGGAAGTAGAGGAAAGTGAGACAGAGGGCTTTGTGCATCTGTACGCATGTATAAATACTGTGAGAAAACTTACCTGGGTGATTCTTGCAACACAGAAACAATCTGTAGTTTTTGCCCAAACCTCTCCTAGAAGCCCATTTTTGGAATAATTGTTTCCCCAGGCCTCCTGATTTTCAAAACCCAGGAAGAAAATACACAAACTTGATGTTATTTAGATGGATAACCCAACTGTTTAGCTTCAGTAGCAGTTTGAAAAACGATTTCTTTTAATGCTTGAAACTAATGAGCATTTCTGCCCTTGTGATAGCCCCTGTCTGCTTTTTTCCAGCTGTTACATATGCCAACTGATGCATGCAGCATTTCAATAAAAGTCAGCGAAAGGGATAGGTGGAAGAATTGTTAAGCCAAGTTCATATATGCTAAAAAAAAGAGTGGAAAACTACCCTTCCTTCCTATCCCATTTGGGGGGAAAAATGAACCTGATGTATTAGTGAAGTGAAGACAGTGATAATGAGTCAGAATTGCTTTGTACAAACCAAGGCTTAGAATACTTCCAGGAGGTTTCAATTATAAGAACAGGATATAATCATGCCTATGTGGTAATGGCAAATTCAGTCTCCCAGTGTGGATCCATATGGTGCCATCCATACCCAAGAGGGAGATCATTGGCAATCTTAGAAAAACTCTTAAGGTTTGCAAAGCAATAAACCAAAATTAAACTAAACTAAACCAAACCAAACCAAACCATAAAATAAAATAAAATCTTCCTATTAGAGTTCAAGGCAAGAATGTTGGCTGGATTGTAGATGGTGAATATAAGGCAGAAATGGGATGGAAAGGAACACAAAGAGAGCATTTCTGGCTGGCTGATTTACAACAAACAATTCTGTAATAATGTGATACTTGAAGAATCAATCCAGTTCAATGGTTAGGGCAGAGATGGGAAACTATGGACCTTTTATGACTTGTGAACATCAACTCCCAAAAAATTACAGGGCCTAAATTACAGGATCTAAAACCCAACCAGAATGATTTCAGGCAGTGCTATTTTTCTTTTTCCACCTAACTAGATTTCAATGATACATATTAGAGCTGTCCATTTTACCATCACTTGATTATAAACAACTTTATTGTAAATGGACATGATGTTTTTCCGGAGCAGCTAGAAACCGAAGCTCCCAACAATTGAATCACCTGGGCTTACAGTAGGTGAGATTTCCAACATATATAATAGGAAAAGGTCCACATTTTGGAACTTACAAACATCCACTGAGAACCACTGTATTTCATTATAGAACTGTTGTGTGGGGGGGGGGAATTATTTTTATAGTTTCTTCCCTTATTTATTACGATCTGATCTTACTTTGATTTTTGGGTTATTGATTCTAAGCTCTTTTTCATAATTGTACATAAAAACCCTAATTCTTTGATATGACATTTCAAAATATTTTTTGCAATAAATTTCCATTGATTAGTGCAGTATTTTGAATTCTGCATCACCTTATACATAATATTTAAAAACAAAATGAAAAATGTAAGTGTAGAGTTAACAATTGTAGCATTAATATTATTTAATTGAAGCCTATACCTTATGTGTTCTAGGAACTTCATATGCTCCAAGCACTATCAGCCAAGGACCGTGGTGGTGAACCTATGGCACGTGTGTCACAGGTGGCACACAGAGCCCTCTCTGTGGGCACATGCGCCATCGTCCCAGTCCTAGGCCTTCAGCTGGGTTTTATAAAACCTTTTCACTTTAGGCCTCCATCCCCATGTGCAAAAGAAAAACAAAGATTCAATCAATCAATCAATTTCAACTTCTCATGGGAAAAAAAAAGATCTCACAAAGTTGGAATTGATTGATTGAACTTTTTAGTCCCCCCAGTCTGCTGTTACCACTGTAGCCATGCCTACCCAATGGACCACACCCACCCAAATGGCCACACCCACCTGGCACCCAACGACATAAGTAGGTTTTGGGTTGCAGTTTGGGCACTCGGTCTCTAAAGGTTTCGCCATCACTGGCCTAGGAAGTCAAGAGAATTGGGTATGTCTAGTTTAACGAAGAGAAGGACAAGGGGGGACATGATAGCAGTATTCCAATATCTCAGGGGCTGCCATAAAGAAGAGGGAATTAAGCTATTTCCAAAGCACCTGAAGGCAGGACAAGAAGCAACGGGTGGAAACTAATCAAGGAGAGAAGCAACCTAGAACTAAGGAGAAACTTCCTGACAGTTAGAACAATTAATCAGTGGAACAGCTTGCCTCCAGAAGCCGTAAATGCTCCAACACTGGAAGTTTTTAAGAAGAGACTGGACAGCCATTTGTCCGAAATAGCGTAGGGTTTCCTGCCCGAGCAGGGGGTTGGACTAGATGACCTCCAAGGTCCCTTCCAACTTTACTACTATTACTAGATATGTTGCAATAGCCCTAATTAAATCTGTAAATGACTACTTCAAAGGGGCAGATCTGGGAGTTGAAATCCACAAGTCATAAAAGGACTATACTTTCCCACCCTGGGGTTGCACAAATAGGGGGTTCAAGATGTGAAAGAGACGGGCCAAGACCATTTCCAAGTTTTTTCTCTTATTTCATTCAAGACAAAGACAAAAATAAGCAAGTGGGATATTTATATAAGCCAAGCTGCCTCAGAATACTTATATAATTTCACTTTTTACCAGTTTCATTTACCAGTTTTCATTCTTTAGCCATTTATTTCCCACCTTCCAACTTATAGCCTGACACAATGAGATGTTTTTTTCTGTAGACTTGCATTTGTTCTCAAATGCATTCTAACTAAATAAATCTTAACACCATATAATGTGAGCCTAAAATAGGTTGGTTCTTCACAATATGTTCCCCAATTCCCAGGTCCTAATTCCTTGTATTACTCTG